TCGATTTTCCGATCACAAACTCGTTAGACAGAACAAATCCACCTTGTCGTTAATGAAAGCACTGACGTCATTAGTTCTGAAGATTTTTACGACATTCTTTCGAGAACGCCTGTCAGGATTTACGACGGTTTACGACATCAATTAACTGTCTCTGTGATGTTACGATACGAGTTTTATCACCGTTGTGGCAACTATGTCCAGATTTTTATCAATTTCCCAGACACGTTGGAACTGCATTATATGAATGCGAGACAGTGTCGTTCAACAGTTACCGTGGATGTATTGTGTAAATGTACAAACACGACCAGGGATGTCCAACACGTCTTGGCGTAGAGATGTATATATAATGGACAGTTCGTGACCTAAGGTGTACTAAAATACATCACAGCATGTGAAATCGGATCATACTGTATTTTCTACGTATACAGTCGTGTGAGTATATATCTTCATGCAATCTTTTGTAAGTTAACTGTTTTGTGTCTGGTAGTTTGTTTAAATGTTAAGTCGGTGATCAAGAAGTTAAACAGGAACCAAACAGCGTTCTTCAGTAATACCTGCATTGGAGGAAAATATGTATAATTAATCGTAAATGCCTAAGTAGGTACGATCAAATCTTTTGTAAATTACTTTTGGGTAAGCTTCAAACAACATGACTGGTAGTTGATGGAGACAGATCTCAGATATGACAACGAAATTTCCTAATTATCTCATTGCGTTTTTGAAAGGCTACGGGTCTAAGCTCTTTCTTTAGCTTTAAAAGATTAAAGTACACTGGCGTTTAATTGAACTGAAGATTGACCCCATAAACCTTCAAAGGGTTTTAGTTATTTTATTATCTAATTTGAACTGATATCTAATTCCGCCTTGAAGTTGATTTCTTCAAACTAATGATGAAATACATGAATGTTGATTACATTTCTAATTAGAGATTACAGTCATTTGGAAAGGAATGAAAAACGATTTTCTTGTTTGCCTTAGTACACATCAATGTACTTCAATGAGTGCACTCTGATCAGTCGTGAAAACAGTTGATTGTGTAGACATATACACAGGGAGATATAACTAACGGTAACCTATATAATGTTTCAGTTATCACTGCAATACCTTGACAGGAGGTACTGTTTTTACCTTTGTTTATCACCTTGGCACGTGGGGATTTATAAGAGGATCTCTATAATCTTTATGCCAAAGGGACTTTTGATAACCTCTGTGTGTGCGGGGGTCAGATGGGGATGTGCGGCGTCTGGGGTGTTCAAAAACATTATTTGAGTCAAAGCTAGACAATATGCCATTATTGTCTGAGAAAGGTCAAACTACTTTTGAGGGACGCTTAAGACATTTTGCAGAACATCTAATACGTCCAGAGAACCGTGTGTTCCTGTGACACGTGAGAACAGTTAATTTTTCAGCATTTTTGGAAATATGTTATATTTCTTTAAAAACCCTTCACCTGAACGAGTGATGGTTTTGATTTGATAACTCTCGGACTACAGAACACGCACACGCATATAATTTTAAATAATCGGTCATTAATATGTAAACACCATTATTTGTTTCATGGTGGATTGAAATGAAACATACAAGAAGGTACATCAGTGTATATCTGACACCAGCATGCTAACGTTTATGCTGTTTTGCCCGCCATGTGTACAGTCCTGAATTGCCGCCGTCGAACAGTGCCGTGCTCTAACAGCAGAACAGTCTTAACGTCATAAAACAGGAGAAGTGATTGATGACGTTTCGGTGTTTCTGTCAGTAATCTCACTGTAAACATTCTTCAAGTCAAACGTGACTCCCCACACAAATTAATTATGTTTTCAGATGATAGCTGATCCGTTCAGCGTCAATTACACAGCCATGAAATGAGTGATGTATCATTCTCCGTGCACCTCACCTGTCACTCTGTCACACACCTGTCTGATGACAGGGGCTCATGAATCTCACACACGTTCACACAAAAACATGTCGGCTGATTGTTTTTTATGAAAATACTTCCTTTTCAAAATGGAGTCACACTGTGAAAGGTGAGTTGTATTGTTTGTAAATATGTCTTCAGCACGGAAGCACAATATAATTGTTTGGTACATGCATTATATTAATATAAGGCAAGAATAATGTTACTTACAAAATGCCTTTTTGAGTATATATGTACACTAGAGTGTATATTGAATATACGAATGGTTAAATATTAAATATACAAGCATACAGAGATGGATACAAGTATAGTTGAAAGCATTCTTAGGTATATTTTTCAATCTTGTAAGATCGATTTTAATGATTTTACTCCGATATGTATACTTTATACTTTATTAATTTGCAAATTCATGTCGTTCCCGAAGTAACGATGATTTAATAGCACAGACAAAATATGCTTATAACATGGATTTACTTAGCCTTGCTCCAAGGCTGTCCTGAATGATAAGCCCATGGATGAATAGTAATTCTATCCTTTAAAAGGAAGGTCTAGATAAGCGGATAGTAGGACGCCAGACTGTGATTTATATTTTTTTAGAAATTTTCGTTTAAACTATTACTTATTACCTTAGAGACTTATGCAAGTCTAGGTTTTACTCATCGTTTGTGAATAGGCGACCTCACGGTCGAAGGTTCGCCCATCTCGCTGTAAGAGTTGCGTCCCTTGTGAGATTGAATTTCTGATATTTTTACCTTAACCTTAGACTGACATTTGGTACCAGAACAGATATTGAGTTATCTAATTTAAATCAAAATGAAAAAGTCCAAACTGAGCTGAGAACAATTCACAATTTCAGGGCTGAGGCAATCCAGAATGGCCAATTTGAATTTGAAATCATTCTAGACTTTGACTCCTATGTAATGTATTCTCTACGGTCTGGGAGGCAGACTAGCTCAACCTTTAAGCACCTAAACATAAATATCACACCATACTGATAAACTGCTATGATGAACAGTTTGTACATAAGTTTCCAGAATTCATTCGGCCATTTATTGCAATGTTCCTGCAATTATGTTGGAGACCACACATGGTCGAACTCAAACCTTTGTGACGAGCGAACATTCTGACCTTCAGACTACCCAACAGACATTCTCTCTCGTGACCTTACCCACGGAACAAATAACGTGAACAGAAAAACAAATATATTGGTGTGTTCCTTTCACACAGAAAGTTCATGTCATTCACTGGCTCAAAGTGTTATCTCCAAGGGACCCCATATGTCTGACCAACTGACAAAGTGAACAATATTTCCATCTTCTTATCATAGATGTCATATTCTGACTTGAAGAGACATGGTGTACCGGGGAGAATAATCGCATTTAACTTTAGAAAGTCAAAGATGCCACTATTGCCCCTGAAAAGGTGTGTCCTTGATCTTGCCAAAAACCTGACGGTTCGAATCCCGGTTCGTGCCGATTAGGTTTGTCTGCACCATACACGTTTGCGGGTTTTATCAGAATAGTCAACGTCGGTGTCCTGCGGTTAAACCAAGAGGCATTGTGTGTCTGCACCGTACACTTACAATGACATATCGTTAACCCTGCATTCAGAAGGGTTTAGTTGAATCCCAATCTGCTTACAATGACATATCGTTAACCCTGCCACCCATATATGCTGCAACTTACGTGTACACGGAAAGTCTGTAACAACACGTACGAATCGTTAATCACGTAAAGTGTTAATATGATCACAGTCGTAGAAACTGTACCAGAGGATTAACTGGGCTCACTGCATGTTCGTCAAAATATGTGATATTCTTCCAATGATTGATAACATCCTTTATCATCCAAAACTGTGTTCCACAGGAGATATCGCTTGTGTGAGATCAAACAATATCTCCTAGGAGATATCGTTTTGACAGTAGATTTTGTACAATGCCCTGACAATGCTATGACGTCATGTACTTGATGACGTCACAATGCTATAACATCACTGCACTGCAAGTGTAATGGCAGTACCGTGTTGAGAGATGTACATATTTCATTGAAAATTAATGAAAAGTGATTTTGGATGATAAATAGAATCTCACCCTCGTGTCTTCTGATATCAAATATATCAACACTCGTTGATAAAAGTTAAAATATCCTCGGCAAGCCTCGGATATTTGTAACTTTATCAACTCGTGTTGATATAATTGATATCAGAAGACACTTGGGTGAGATTCTCTATTTCTGAATGTATTGTACAGTGTTATATATGTAAAATATAACCCCTTGATAGCTCAGAAACATATAGAGGCGGTGGGGTAGCCTCGTGGTGAAACGTTCACTCGTCACTCCAAAAATCCGGGTTCGATTCCCCGCATGGGTACAATGTGAGAAGCCCAATTCTGGTGTCCCCGCGTGATATTGCTGGAATAGTTCCTAAAAGCGGCATAAAACAATACTCACTGATTCAGAAATATATACACACATTCAGGCAGAACAGAATAACTGGGCTGATTGGAGATTATGGCAAATTGGTACGGTGGGTGGTTTCGGTGCCGGGTGGACGTTCGGGGGTTGGTTAAACCGGTATTCTCCATATGGACCATGGAAAAGAGAGTGGTTGTGGGCGGTTTGAGGTTCATTGCTCTACTTCTTATTGATCTGAACGAGCTCTCCAGAACATCTGATACAAATGTGTTTCATTCTGTTTTTCTAATCAGTCGTGAAGCCATTATTTAACTTTGATAAGAAAAACAACCGACACAAATTCACCTAATTCAAGGTTGCCGTTCTTGAAGTCTTTGTATGTGCTGCGTGCTTGAAAACCTTGAAACACGTGACATCGAATAGCCTACAACGGGTATTGAAGTGTCCGTTGATGGCAATATATCTAAAAATCATTTTCACTTCTGCCTAATGCTATTTGGGTGACATGAATCAGTCATGTACGTACAAGTAAATATAACAAGGATTAAAGATCATTATCACTTTCACAGAAATCAAGCAAACTATTTCTGGTCTGTTTCCGGTTACGTATGAACATCCATTCTGAATGTTATTTCGGATGCGACATGTATCTTATTCATCATACCTTTCAGATGCCCAACCATCCAGTCACCATGGTAACATCAATGACGTAACTGTCGGTACTTCTTGATCATTCTCTGCCAAATGAACAACCGACGTCTTCCCCCGTTACCCATTAAGGGCAAGAGGGCGCTCACCCCTCGGGCGAATCAGCGCTCACCCAGCTCACCACAGCCACTTCCGGTGCCAGAAATGGTCATTACAGGTACTGTGCTAAACAGGCACTCAGTGCATGATATTATTGCCTTGTAATAATATGTTTCTTTTTAAATGCCTTTTAATGTATATTTGTAACAAGATCTAGCGAATTTTCTTCATTTTCAGAGTGAGTGAGTTAAATCTTACGTCGCATCAGCATTATTTCAGCCATATAGCGACGAGCTCGCGTGTAAAATTAGCAAGCTATGACACAGCATTATACACACTTTACTTTCGGAGCCTTTAATGTTTTGCAAAAAAACCAAAACAAATTAAAATATAAAATGGTTGCATTCAAACATCTGCCACAAAATCATAAATCATTTTCAGAAACTACGAACCTATTATTGACTTTTATAATTTAGACTTATTATTTAAAGACGCACAAGATTTATTGGGTGAACATCGTCGTTCGAGGGCACAACTTACACTGAATATTAAAGGTAATTTGATTAGATAAAAATAGAAAATTAAGATATTACCGGACAATTTACAATTACCAGTGTTATAAGTCTGTCATTCGATTTCTCATAACTCTTAAGAAATATTATGGGTGTCTGCCGCTGGAGAATTAAACAATCGCTTACTTTTGAACTAAACGTTTACCAAAGTTGTTGTACTCTTCTGAAAACAAAGGTAAATATCAGTGTTATCTGTGAAATACGGAAATAACCTGTTGTCGTCATCGGAATACAGACTTGCATGTTTAACTCACTCCACTCACTCACCCTGTTGTCACAAGACACGTCAGTAAAGCTCTCGGTAATAACCTGTTGTCACCATCGGAATACAGACTTGCATGTTTAATTCAATAACCCACTCACCCTGTTGTCACAAGACACGTCAGTAAAGCTCTCGGTAATAACCTGTTGTCACCATCGGAATACAGACTTACATGTTTAACTCAATAACCCACTCACCCTGTTGTCACAAGACACGTCAGTAAAGCTCTCGGTAATAACCTGTTGTCGCCATCGGAATACAGACTTGCATGTTTAACTCACTAACCCACTCACCCTGTTGTCACAAGACACGTCAGTAAAGCTCTCGGTGTGTCGTAACCCAAAATTGTAGATTTTGATATAATAATTTGTTTTGTTTCTTTGTTTTATATTTGTATGTCTCTGACGTAGTATCTGGGAGGTTATAGTGTGGTAAGGGTGAAACATCGTCGTCATCTAGCTAGGATATTGTGGAGTGCGGCGCTGAAAAAGAAACAAAACAAATAGTATTAGCTTCATGGTGACGACATTCTGAACGCTTCAAAGGTTACTTTGCTGATGTGGTCTTGTAAAACATAAACGAGAACAATTCCCAGGATATTTTAAATGTTCATTTGTACAGGAACTTTGCCCTTTGCAAGTAAGGAATGTGGCAGGCAAGTAATTCAAGCAAGTCTGTTTAGCTGACACTTCTTCTCATCAATGGTACATGATATTGTTTCATTCATGAAATTAATTATCGTTATCATTTAGTTTGAACCATTTCTTCCAACAATTGTCCTCAAGGGAAATGACCTTTCTGCTCTGCTGTTTCTTGATGTGTCAGTATACATGGATCCATTAATTGCTATGGCTACTGTGATCAATAACCTATTATCCCCGGCAAACAAGGTTATATTTGAGCAGGGTGTGGTGAGGGCGAAATGATGCAAGGAAATGGCTTCTCAAATCAGAGGCCGTCAACGTACAACATCTTCAGACAAAATCATTCTGATTTATCAATTTATAAAAAACGGCGCAAGTAGTCTGTCGTTTAAGGTGCTGTAGAGTTGCTTCCCTTAGCTGTGCCAGGACGCTGTGATTGTGGGGAGGCTTATAGATATGTATTTATTACTTCATAGTAGATAACAGATCTAGTGTGTGCGTATGACCGTGCGTGTGTATGTGCGTGTGCGTGTGTTAGACTAAGCATAGGCCGGTTTTGTAGAACCTAGCCATGGTGTGAGCATGTCGCATTTAGCATGAATAGTCCTCGTTCTATTCCCTTGAAGCCGAGCGCCAGTCAGGGTAACAACAAGTACCATTTCTTGACTCCTTTCCTTTGACGCAGTCGTATATCCAATCACCGACCTTCCTTATACTGGCAAACACTCCATCTACAAAGCACTATGAATTACATGTATTTCAAGGTAGACCTAAGATATCCAAGGGGGCACCTGTAAACCCAAAATGGCGTGGAACGTGGATGGTTGGATCCCTAACAGCGTCATAACAAAAGACATTACAAGACTGGGAATAAAACAAGGACTGCATACTGATACCGCTGGATTAGTTAGATACGATGCCATATACTTTTAAAGGTGAAAACGTGTATCTTCGCCACCCCTTATCAAGATCGAGATCACACACATCATATTGGTTTGCAGGTCCAGTGAATCTGCCTGAATTGTATGAATCTTTGATTGCCGATGTCCCAGGTCTCCTTTCAGTAGTACAAACGTCACTTGTTACTCTACAGCTACACGTGGACTTTCAGAATGCCGGTTTGATGTAAACCTAAACATGACTAAACTCAATCAGTGGTGGAAATACAACCCTCTCTATAATTCCATCATGCTAATATAACACGATTACATCTGTAAGTCGAATGTATGTTAGTCTATTCCAGGGCGAAAAAGCGCTTAGAATCAGCTCTTGGTGGTAACATTTAGCTGTAGTGTGTAACTCTGCTTACAAAACCATAAGTTTCCCTAAAAACACATAAAGGTTCCGTAAGAAATCTCCAATAAAACCTGAGTCCATTGTACGATCCCGACTATATTATGAGGATGTGTTGATGAATCACTATCCATCAGATACTCTACCAGATGGGCGTAGCCTGTGACACCAATGGCATCCGTCACAAATCCATGCAAAGGCAAGTAAATGTATCCACAAACAATGGACATCTAGTTCATGTCAGAACTGGGAATTGCATCAGACATATGTTTTGTCATTGATGCGTCAAATATGGATATATCCTCCACGAGTCTACCATGAATCTTACCGAAAGCTTTAGGCCTTTTGAAGAAGGGCCGTAGGTTGTTACTGGAATTTTATCGTCAGAAGAGAAGGCTCGTTTGTACCTAAAACGGTGTTTGGTTATTGAACGCCGCACTCGGCAACATTCGGCCTCTATGACAAAGTCCTGTAGAAGTCCAGACTGTCCAGTATTGACATCCTGAGCATCGATCTGCACAAATGGGATACGATGACATCAACCAAATCAGCGAGACTGACCACCCAACTGGGATACGATGACATCAACCAAATCAGCGAGACTGACCACCCAATTGGGATACGATGACATCAACTAAATCAGCGAGACTGACCACCCAATATTAACCAGTTTTACGAGTGGGTTGGTGAAGACCAATTCTAGCCCTTATAAATGGGTGTCAAAAGAAGCAATGTAGACACCAAAATATTGAACTGCATCGGTAAACATTTGTTGTCACTGATGAGTAAGGTATCCTGATAGACATATTGTTGATACCTTCCACCTGCAGAGAAAGCATCTGTCAATGTATCCACGACATTCCGAGCCACTCGACCTATTCCGCTACCAACCTTCATATATGAGATTAGGTGTTCCGAATGGTATCGATCTGTATGTAAGTTAGCGCCTGCCTCGGATAGTACATAATGATTCATAATGGTCGCTAAGGGATGACATGCCAAATAAAATACTGCCTTTGAAAGAACGACGGAGGCAATTAGCCTTCGTTTCTCCTCATTACCACACCTGAACCAGCCTTGAAGAGAGAGCTCACTAAAAAGGAATCAGACATAAATCGTTACTGAATGAAACGGTTCAAGGAACATGTATTCAAGTACCACCAATCTGTGGTTTATATAGTAGATAAAGTGTTACCAAATTGCAAGGACAACCATGTTTCAGACACATATTATTAGTCACATAAGTGTACTTTGGTCTGCATGAAACCCAACAGGCATAAATGATGACAATGTGTCGATAAATAATGGAGAAGAACGTTTTTGTTTTTCTGTTTATTTTATCATTTGAATGTCTGCTGTTATTTATCTTTGGTGCTGGTTTTTTATTTTCCGGATCACATTTCGACTAAATTCAGGTTCGTTTTTTTTAATTCAAAGAACCATTTATGTTTGCATGACGATTCCAAATATACTGGAAAGGAATAGTTTGGGATATATGTAAATTTTGAAATTATGAATAATGATCTATTTATTCATTGACACACTAATAAAATATAAATCATAAAAATACCAATAGCCCTAACTTATTTTGTCCAGTATACATGTACCTCGTTCTGAATGGGGACTGGCTTGGCGGTTGAATGGATAAATGAAACATCATTCAGATATCATTGTGGACTGTTGAATCCAAGATGTGATTGAAGAGGAATTAAAGGAATAAAACTGACATGAGCACAACCCCATAAGGATACGGGGCCATATGATCTGACACTGTCACCATTCAGGATAAGCACAGGATACAGACCTACAAGAAGAAGTGATGTAACTTTACAAATAGCCTTGCAATAATGTTTGTGTTAGTCTGCGGCCTAACGCCGGACTCTTCCAGCTATATGTCGACTTCTTGTAATAAATCAGAAATCAGAAATGGACCAGACAATCAAGTGTTTGACATCATTAGCAACGCTCCAACGGGGGATACTGTGACACGCAATCCAGCACGTCCTAGACGTTGACAACACGATCCGTATATTCGCCTCTTTCGACCAGCGTAGGTTGCTGTAGCCTGAATCCTCACAAATGTGTGTGTATGAATTATCGACGTCGTGCGACATTGACAACGAAATATGCACATAACTACAGCCAATGGTAATATGCATCAACCATGTCACGAACATAACAATTATCCCCCTTACAGTAGAAGTATGACGTTGTTTGTCGACAGCCTGGTTATTACTGGAATACGTACCTGCATATTTCGCTCATTACTTCGTAAATTGTCTTTTTTTTTTCATTCATGATTGGTTTGTGCATTATAAGACATGGAATTAACGTGATGTATACATAATCGATTTTAACTAACAGGGACTACATTGTTTCGGTTGCCATGGTAACAGTGAGTTTTAGTCCCGTGAGCTGCACGGTTTTCTGTGCTCTTAGTGTAAAGAATAAAATTTCGTATTGATATTCTCAAAGGGAGCAGAGATTGACAGCGTTATACGTGTCTGTTGGTTTTAACGGCTATGTCTGACCGGCTGCATGAGCTTTTTCAAATATTTTAAGCCATTGTTAGGTTTTGTATCTGTTATTCTCACAGGGAACAGAGATTGACAGCGTTATACGTGTCTGTTGGTTTTAACGGCTATGTCTGACCGGCTGCATGAGCTTTTTCAAATATTTTAAGCTGTTGTTAGGTTTCGTATCTGTTATTCTCAAAGGGAACAGAGATTGAATGTGTTATGCGTGTCTGTTCGTTTTAACGGCTATGTCCGACCGGCTGCGTGAGCTATTGTTACATTGTTATGCTTTATGGAAGTAAAACGACGAAATTCAAAGGGCACAGTCTACCTATACAAATTTTTGTCCTCCGTCAGGGTTTCGTTACGTTAACAGCGCCTTAATTGAAATTGCGTCGAAAGGACAATGGCAAATGTGGTTATCTTGCCTTCAAGAATTATGGTAACTCTGGCAGCAATAGTCATTCCTCTCTCTTTTTTCTCTCGCGATGATCAGACGGTATCTGATCGGGTTCAAAAGCTTCCACTACGACAAAGGAAACTACATAAAACGTCGCCTAATTTTTTTAAGGAACATATCATATCACGAAAAACATTCGTGTAATTTCACTAATGACCAGAGGTGAGTTCGTAAACCATTCTACCGAAGGTATTACTAACGCACTATCGGGTCAACAAGGTGAAAACACAATTACTGTGGAATTAACTGATTGCATGGTTCCAGGAAGTTACCCATCTGTGTATTGAATATTCACCGAACGTGTGATATATCCGGTTCCATAATGGATATTAACAGCGGAAATTATCAGGGTCTTGGTTAATATTTTTTCTCAGCATTCGTTAATTCCTCTGTTTGTGGCAATGTACCGTTATGATGGGATTATCGCTGAACGGCGCACCCGGCAATATTGCAGCTATATCACCGGGGTCGACAAACAATGGAGTATGGAAGAGACAATCACGTACTTAGCCTCACGATTCTCGGTCCACGTAATCTGGGCAGGATGAAATACAATCAATGACGTCACAGAGCTCCATCAAAAGATCCATTAACGACAGACATATTAGGTAGGGGACCTATGTTATTACCCGAAATTCCCGTGGGTCATATGTTTGTATTGCTTAGCATCAATGCATATTTGGGAAGTATACTCTTCAATGCATAGTTTGACTTACGGTTCAATGTGGCAAAACACACACAATGTCTGTAACCTGATCATTTTTGGCGTTTCTGATTCTATTTGTCAGAAATACGTGTTGTTACGCGTAAAAATAAAATAAAAGATGTCTGACAAGTGCAGTTAACTGGCCTTAGAAATGTTCTTTTCGTTGAAACATACATTCTGTCTTTTGTACACATTATGCGCACGGGGAGCTCTTTAAACAGTAGGTCAAGGATATTTTGGGACATTAATAATCATTATGACCAATTTTCTTCACGTCAAAACGACTGAAGTCATGAGATGACTTTCGGTGTAGGATTTTTGTTGAAAAAAGGTTAAAACAGAAAACATCCCCGTAACTTCTTAACACAGAGTTGATGATGTGACGCTTGACTAATTTGCCTGTCTTCCCGTGAGCGCTCGTGCCGCTCGCAACACGACTGGGACAGCCCCTTGGAGTTGACGGCAACAGGGTCATGGGGGCAAGTTGACTGAAGCGCATTAAAATCACCAGGCAACGCCAAAAGTCAGTCTTTGTTTGCCTTTCTCCGAGCACGTTGTTGATGAAACAAACTCGCATGACGAACACTAAACAGTACTTTTCTTCAGACACTAATTAGGTTACCAAAAGTCACATAGACAAAACTATTGCTTTTATGTCAAATGATTAGTTATCTAATATTGTATTCTTAACTTCACCACCAAAGTCATGGGCGGATCCAGGAATTTTGAAAAGGGGGTGGGGTGGGGGTTGTTTCAGGGGGTTCGAACCCCCTGAACTCACCATTGGCTCCACCAACGCAAAAAAAATCTTCAATGTGGCCTTAAGTCATTTTCAGTGTGTGTGTGTGTGTGTGTGTGTGTGTGTGTGTGTGTGTGTGTGTGTGTGTGTGTGTGTGTTTTTGAACCCCTGGATCCGCAATGAAAGTACACTGTATATTTACTGACATAAGCAGACGCCCCAGTGTCTGACCTTAAATCAGAAATGCCACCATCTTGACTGTGTTTAGAAATTTATTTCTCTTGTCAGGTTACAGCACTATTCAAGGATCTGGTAACCATGGCAACAACCCAGGAGGAGTAAACAATGGCAGAATACACTTGCATGGTATGTATGCAAAATACTTCCCATCTAAAATGGTTACAATCTGAATGACCATCTAAAACTTGCCAATATCTTGTATACTCTCTAAAGATGGCAGATAATTTTATAGTTTGTCTCACCCCCGAAAATTGTTAAGAATGAAAAGTGACCAGGTCAGCCAAATTGTAGGTTTGGCTCCCGAACTGCTTAAAATCTCACATTAAAACAAATAAAATGTTGTGATGCTCTGACAGGAAAACAGTATTTTTCTCTGGTCTCCATCATGTTCCTGATAATTGTTCCATAATGTATTGATTATCTACATGCGTACAAAAATGGTAACTTGCATTTTTGCTAGCTATTTTCATTACTAAAATGGTAACTTGAGTTTTTGCTAGCTATTTTCATTACTAAAATGGTAACTTGAGTTTTTGCTAGCTATTTTCATTACTAAAATGGTAACTTGCATTTTTGCTAGCTATTTCATTACTAAAATGGTAACTTGAGTTTTTGCTAGCTATTTTCATTACTAAAATGGTAACATGCATTTTTGCTAGCTATTTTCATTACAAAAATGGTAACTTGTATTTTTGCTAGCAAGTTGCTATTACAAAAATGGTAGCTTGTGTTTTTGCTAGCTATTTTCATTACTAAAATGGTAACTTGAGTTTTTGCTTGCTATTTTCTTTACCAAATGGTAACTTTTCTTTTTGCTAGCAATTTTTTATTACAAAAACAGTAACTTGTGTTTTTGCTAGACATTACAAAAATGGTAGCTTGTCTTTTTGCTAGACATTACAAAAATGGTAGCTTGTGTTTTTGCTAGACACTTGTGTTTTTGCTAGACATTACAAAATGGCAGCTTGTGTATTTGCTAGACATTACAAAAATGGTAACTTGTGTATTTGCTAAACATTTTCATCACATTCAGTCTTGCAGTTTCTATTGTTTTTATTACTCTTCCATTTTTCCATTTTTCTATCAGCATGCGGATAGTGTTATAGACAAACACAAGATATTTTCAACTGTTGATTGCATTGTTCACAAACTGATGGCGCTGTTGGCATATCTTCATGCTTGTCACCTTACATGCCTCTGTACATGCCGGACCTGTCTCTAATAAGAATAAGTGGTTGCTATGGTTACCACTAGCATTATCTACTTCAGGAACAAAACAACTCACTTAAAAGCGTGTGATGTCAAAAAATGTTTTATCGATATCAGTCACACACGTCTTCGATATTGATGATTATCTTCATATCATTCCCACCATTGACAATTGTTTCCACATCAGTCACAGCATTGATAATTATCTCCATATCGATATCATGCTATTGATAATTAACTTCATATCATTCCCACCATTGACAATTGTTACCATATCAGTCACAGCATTGGTAATTATCTCCATTTCAATATCATGCTATTGATAATTATCTTCATATCATTCCGACCATTGACAATTGTTTCCATATCAGTCACAGCATTGATAATTATCTCCATATCAATATCATGCTATTGATAATTATCTTCATATCATTCCCACCATTGACAATGGTTTCCATATCAGTCACAGCATTGATAATTATCTCCATATCAATATCATGCTATTGATAATTATCTTCATATCATTCCCACCATTGACAATTGTTTCCATATCAGTCACAGCATTGATAATTATCTCCATATCAATATCATGCTATTGATAATTATCTTCATATCATTCCCACCATTGACAATTGTTACCATATCAGTCACAGCATTGGTAATTATCTCCATTTCAATATCATGCTATTGATAATTATCTTCATATCATTCCGACCATTGACAATTGTTTCCATATCAGTCACAGCATTGATAATTATCTCCATATCAATATCATGCTATTGATAATTATCTTCATATCATTCCCACCATTGACAATGGTTTCCATATCAGTCACAGCATTGATAATTATCTCCATATCAATATCATGCTATTGATAATTATCTTCATATCATTCCCACCATTGACAATTGTTTCCATATCAGTCACTGCATTGATACTTATCTTCATATCAATATCATGCTATTGATAATTATCTTCATATCATTCCCACCATTGACAATAGTTTCCATATCAGTCACAGCATTGCTAATTATCTCCATATCAATATGATGCTATTGATAATTATCTTCATATCATTCCCGCCATTGACAATTATGTCCATAATTATAAAGTTTTAGCAGCTCTAGCTGAAAACCCTCTACCACCACAATACACCCATGGACCCAGAATATCAAATGGTTGTGCCCTTAAGATTCAAATACATATCAGTTGGTATCAGAGATATTGATTTTCCTTCTGAATATGTCAGTAATTATATTAGTAATACAGAGCAAAGGTCAAAGTTGTCAATGTAAAACAGCAATTCATTATAAGTCATAACATTCTTATCAGGGAAATAAATCTTTTATTTCCTAGCACAAACCTATGATAAATATGTATTTAGTGCTAAGTGTGTGCCTGGTAGCGTCATATTTCTATTATACACCAGGCTTGTGTGAGCTGTGGTGAAAATCTTACCCCACGTGGAGTTTGTGTCACATTTCCACCGTAGTCCTGATAAATCTCCTTACACCAAGGAAGAGCTGTAGTGCACATATCTGTGTTTGTTTTAACATCTGTCACATAAGCAGCAACTTAATCTGACAATCAGTAAACATGTATAGCCTGGGCTGACGTTCGGTTTCAGTGTGTGCTAGTCATATCAGGTTCTAGACTGAAGAGGTGTCCTTGTCAGGTGTACGGTGTTTTTTCATAGGTTTGGGAGTATTTCGAGGCATGGATACTGTGGAGAGGAAGAGTATTTGGTTGAACAGTATTCTGAGAGAGGTTTTTTTAGGGTGTATGATGCTTTCTTTATGGGGACTGAGAGGTATATACAGAGCTACAGATAACATTTGGGTCATTGAGTTATGTACTCGCTTGTGTTCATCTCAATTGGGTATCCTAATTTTCTTTTGAGTAACCAAATAAATTGTACTCACCTCACTCAGGCTCAACTGGGTATTTTGCCATTTTCCATTAATTTTAAAAATATAATAAACTTTAAATTTTAGTGTTTGTTATTTACATTTGATCTGTGATATGAGAAACGCTAAGAAAGACTGCAAGTTGTCAAGTTCATGTCCTGAAATAGAACCTCTCAATATACCTCAGTTATTTTATCTATCCACACGTATGCAAGCTAAGATTTGACATTTTTGTGTGTACGCACGTAAGATCACATTTATTGAGTATTTACAAAAATTGAAGCGTACTTGTACTTAATAGGAATTAAGTTTTCGCATAAATTTTGGGTAATTTACGCAGATACACAGCTTATCTGTACCTCTGTTATAATCTAAGACAAACTTTTTGTGGGGTGTAGGATGCTTTCTTCTTTATTGAACAGACTTTATGGACAACAACTTCTTTTATTACGAGGGTGTGACGTTTCGATACAGATTTTTGTCCCGTTGTCAAGCAGTAATGTGTTATCTTTGATGTTTGTTTAATATAATACTTCCCAACTTCTAAAATGTCAAATGTAGTTGTGTCATATGTGAAATACGGATTTCATATTTAAATTTGAATTAATCCTATGTTACGTCAGGCGTACAGTTCAATACTATATCAAACATGTTTAGAAATGCACACTCAGAGTGGACTATGGAGATGTGAAAGAATGGAATTCAAAATGGAAGTCTTTAAATATTCATACAAGCGAAACTAAGTCTGTTGCATGTAGCTGAGTTCGTCACATCTATCATTTCCAGGCCTATTCTAATCTATTATGACCTCCCAAAAAATAATCATCAAAAGATTATTGTAAAGACGACACAGTACCTGAAAGTTGTTAAGCCTGATACCGTCAAGCTGATGTCAGTAATCTCAAATGTTATGACATACATTTGTCCAAGCTCGGTCAAGCACACACATACACAAAGCCGTAGCGGTAGCAAGAGTTTGACGCAAGCTCAAGCACAAACTGTATACAGGCTTTTCTAAAGGACGTATACACTGCCATACACATGGGTATGCCCATTGTAGAAAGCGGTTCTTTCTGTATTGTACATAAACAAGAATTGGGCGAGTGAAAAGACCACTACAGGCGGTATTGTGGTTTATCACTTTATGACCCCCGTGGCCTCCCATACACAGAGGATCAATACACATTTTAATTACAAGAATCCTTAGTTGTCAGAATGCCGTTACATAGGAGCAGAGTCCTTGTGGAGCAAGTTTTATACAGCTTTAGAGCATTGAGTATGTCTGGTGCAGCTGTTTCCTGTCGTAGCATGCGGAGATTTTACCTTTGAGAACAAATCTGGATATCTTGTAACAGTGTTGTGGATCCTGGAGTTTTAGATTTATGATCATAATATTGTGGTTTCTTTGCGGTGTGTACTATGTGTGGTAATTCTGGGAGAAAAGATCGTGGAATTGTATATCAAGAGCCCTGGACAGAATGACAGGTGAGTTATTGAATTGCGTATTGAGTGGGAAGGTAAACAGATCTCATGAATTATTGAGTGTAAGAGTATTCACAATGATACGTGGGAAGTCTATCAGTGTTTTCACTAAACATAGAGACATTTGGACATTCAGGAACATTTTCCTGATATTTTATAATTTTTTCTGCATCATTATTCCATTACAATTGCATTTTGGAACATTCTTACAGCATTTTAATCAAATATCCAACACTTTGTCAGTCCGACTCAAACTCTCATTGTATATTATTCCATGTTTGAATCATGTTGTTGAAAATTGTATCAATTAAATTCTTTAAAAAACTTTGTTTTATATATTCCTAGATGTTACAGAATAATAAGACCAGAGCATTGCATGAATATTTTGTTTTATGGTTTGGCAATCTTTGCTAAACTGTTCTCTTTAAGTGACATTATTGAAAATAGCATTTGAATATTCTAATTCAGTCTTTGTTTTAACCTA